CTGGCTCCCTTTACACAATCTTCAGGGAACCCTTGCCCCCTTTTACCCAGGCATGGCCTATGAATGAAACCTTCAACACACACGTTACCCTTGAGAAGGTCAGAGTGGTCACAAAGCACACCAGCTGTAGCTTACAGAACCCCTACATATGGCATGCATCTGCCTTCAGTTTCCCAGCCCACAAGGAAGGAATATCAAGTCAGGTTCTACTAAAACAACTTAATACTGTATTTACTCCAAATAATGGTGAGTTAATAGAAGAATGCGTACATGTTCTTTCCAAATCAATGGCGCAACATTAAAGGGCTGAATGTAGGTTCAGCTTTAGTAATGGAACCAGCACATAATTAGTGCCCACATCTTCCTGGCTTACACAAGGGTGCTTTCTCCCAATAACGTAACTTTAAAGTTGTGGCGTAGGATGATTTATGGCCCATGGTGATAGGGGAAACCCAGGGGAGCTAGGCTCCCTTAGATAGGGGAGCGCTCGGCTCCCTTAGACTCCCTCTTGGAGAGCTCTCTCCCGCCCCCTCCACACCTAATATAAATAGAGCGGGCAAGATGAGTGACAAGCCTATTGCCTGGAACCCAAAGGGGCAAGATATGGTCTAAAAAGGCCCAACACTCTCTAACAAGAATGTCTCCTTATTCATCATCCCCCGTGGAAGACGAGCAGTTAAACCTTGCAGTGCAGAGAAGGGCCTACTGCAAGGGTTAATTTTTTCACCTTTGAAATGGAATGCCACTCAAAACTTTTTCTTTGTTTTGGATTGAGGCTTTGTCAGTTTTTTATTGTTGTCTGTATCCCTGTTGGGGAGAGTTTCCCTCACTTTCTCTTCTGATGACACTTGTCCTCACTGAGAAAGGAAGTGAGCAGATAGGGACATACCCAACAATTTAAACACTCTTTTATTAAGGAGGGTATGAGATAAAACTTCTGTCCCAGAGACTGTGGTCACTGAGGAAGTAAGTGGAAATCTTATGAGAGCGGATCCAGATAGCAATACATATCTAACAGATATTCAAACATTTCCCCATTCTATTCAAAACTTAAAAGAAAAAAGTTTGTTGTTTTTAAAAAAATAACCATTCTACAAAAATAGAAATGAAGAACCCCTTGTTAGAGAACCCTTCCAGAATGATGATATACTAAGAAAAATAAAATCAACAAAAATTAGATCAAGTTAGAAGCGGGAACCTTGCCAGGTCCAGAGGAGAACTGACATCATTAAAGAGTTGTATGGTGTTGTCATGAAATTGTATCAGCTTAGAGAACCTTCTAGTACATGGTAAGATTTCCCTGAGGGTGGAAATAATGTAGAGAGGCCTTCTTCTATATTTTAGGTTGTTCCCCATCTTGCCTTATGGGCCTAAATGCACCCACATCCAGGTTCTTGCTGGAGGTAGGCTACTGTTTGAAGTGGTGGCATGCTATACCAATTGGACAGAACAATAAGGAGCCAATGACGTTATCCGATCAATGACTGATGTTATTTGGCTGTGCCCCACAGTATTGCCCTTCCATGTCAAAAGAATGTGTCCATAGTCACCAACATTTCACAAAAACTCCCAGAGACCCCTTTTGTTTTGCATCCGGCAAGCTATTGTAGGTGGAGAATGTACCCTAATTAGGGGTGGGGCTTTCGTTTTGGTTCTACAAGAGGCATTTTGTTTTTGTACAATTTAATTTTAAAATACTGTATATACAGAATGGTTTATCACAATAAGAACAGAAAGACAGCCAAGAAGTTATTGTGTAGCTAGCTACAACTTAGAGGGCCCATTTACATTTGTTCAGACATACCAAAATGTCTCAATTATCGAACATGTCACATAATTTTTCCTGCAAAGCACTATGATACGTTGCAATGCCTAAGTGTGATGGGATGCTGTTATAACTGAACAGCACCACAATGCGTCAACACACGTAATGTGCATTGCCATGCGCTGCGTTAATTCCCGCAAATGCATTGATGTGAATTGGCCCTTGGTTTGTACAGTTTATATAAAGTGTGGCAGCCCAACAGCACTTGCAGAGAATACATTAAAAACACATAGCAACCAAAAATTGCACGCTGGGACCCACAGTGCGTCCCCACATCCAAAATAGTGAAACTACAAAGACTGGTTATAAATTTATGCGGTTACCATCTTTTTCTAGTTTGACTATTTTGGATGTGGGGACACAGCGTGCATTTTTGGTTGCTGGGTCTCCAGTGCGTCCCTGCACCTTGTGAGGAGGAGTAGGCGACCTCCTGGTACATCGTCATTTCATTTATCGACTGCATTAATATGCTCCCACTTGGAGACCCATATAAATAGAGTTAGGACCACACTTTACAGAGGAGCCTTGACGGGGCGGTGTGGCTTCTACATATTTTTGGCCAAAGGTTTGTGCAACTAAATCCTCTGCTTTTAACGCATACAGCTAGACAGTGTAATTTGTTTTGTTGCAGGCTAGCTGGCAGGTGTGCTGGGGATTTTTTGTGTTTTGTATAGTGTATACAGTGCAGGGGTGAGGAGTATAACCTATAACATAGTCTATACTGTGTACAACATGCAGTGCAGGCGTCGGGAGTATATTGTACAACATAGTGCATACAGTGTACAGCATACAGTGCAGGGGTCAGGAGTATATGTACAAGGAATAGGCATAATAAACTTCAGATTTAAAGTATACAGTATGTGTATAGCCACATTTTTTTTGGATAGAGTAGAAAATGACCTATTTGACCCCCCTGTCAAGTTCTTATACAGTATTTTATAGTCAGAAAGTGGTGAGCAAACTACAGTTTTGTGGTTGCCAACAGAAAAAAGGTGAAGGAAACCTTCCAATAAGAACTTCTGTCCCAGTGACAGATGTGTAAGAGCAAACCAGAGTAGCCTGGGGCTCTATAGACACACCTGGATGACGCCATAGGCAGATGCACAGGACACATCTATATACTTGTTATACATACTGACAGACTGCATCCAGTTACCCACAAAAGTGCTCATGGTGTAATAAAATACTGATATCTAAACAGGATCCTGTCGGCAGAAAGATCATGCATTTAAAAAAACTCATGTAATGGTCCGAAAAGTGCTATTGTTTACATGCATTTAAACACATTAGGCATCATTCATTTCAGGTCCCTACCCTTAATGCCACCTTAGGCAGCAGAGCTGTTGTGTGGTGGTGAGTGCTCCTGATAGTGCTGGGGGGGTTGTGGTAGTTGTTTCCTGATAGTGCTGGACGGGTGGCGTGGCGGCAGGTGCTCCTGATAGTGCTTTGGGGGATGGCGGTGGGTGCTACTGATAGTGCCTGGGGGATGGCGGTGGGTGCTCCTGATAGTGCCTGGGGGATGGCGGTGGGTGCTCCTGATAGTGCCTGGGGGATGGCGGTGGGTGCTCCTGATAGTGCCTGGGGGATGGCGGTGGGTGCTCCTGATAGTGCCTGGGGGATGGCGGTGGGTGCTCCTGATAGTGCCTGGGGGATGGCGGTGGGTGCTCCTGATAGTGCCTGGGGGATGGCGGTGGGTGCTCCTGATAGTGCCTGGGGGATGGCGGTGGGTGCTCCTGATAGTGCCTGGGGGATGGCGGTGGGTGCTCCTGATAGTGCCTGGGGGATGGCGGTGGGTGCTCCTGATAGTGCCTGGGGGATGGCGGTGGGTGCTCCTGATAGTGCCTGGGGGGGGGGTGGCGGTGTGTGCCCCTAATAGTGTTGGGGGGGTGGCGGCGTGTGCTCCTGATAGTGCTGGGGAGGATGTCGGTGGGTATAGTGCGGTCCTAGCTCTAAACAATTTTACTGTTTAAAGCCCATTCCGTGTGCACCTTACTGTAAAGCTGGTGACCAATTAATGAGTGTGTTTGTCATCTATTTTGCTTGACTGTTTTGGTGCAGTGACGCATGGGGGGTCTCAGCTGCCATTGGGATGTGCGGGATCCCTTGTTTGTCTCTGTGCCTTTAAGGGGGTTGGGCTTCCTCCTGACAAACCTGCCAATTTGATATCTTCTGCCCCCATGTGCTCCAAGATGGACACTCTCATAGTTTAGAGTTAGGACCGCACTATAAGAGGTGCCTTGGCGCGGCTTTCATATTTTCTGCAGAAGATGTGTATCCAAACCTCTGTTTTTAACCTTAGTGTGAGACAAGTTTTTTACATGCTGGCTTGTGAGTGTGCCAGGAAAACATTTTGCTATTTTACTGTTTAAAGCCCATTCCGTGTGCACCTTACTGTAAAGCTGGTGACAAATTGATGAGTGCTTTTGTCATCTGTTTTGCACATGTAAATTACCACGTACCCACATTTGTCCACCGCCGAACACAGCACAAGATAAAGCCCCATTCACACCTGAGCATAGCGAGCACGTGTTTGTTTTCCACGGAAAAGTAGTGCATGTAGCAAAATCTGTGATGTGCGTTCTACATTTTCTCCCATCGTGTTTGTGCATGTTTTAATGCGTACAAATGCAGAAGACAAACGCTCGTCTTCCCATTTGCCAGTTGGGTTTTTCACGCACGTCAAAGCGTGCATTTTGGTGCGTGTTTGACGCACGTTCCCGAAACAATCAGGTGTGAAAGGGGACTTACTGAGTACCACGCAGCTGCATGCATGGGTCCATCATATTCAATACTGCTGCATTTACGGCGCTATACGCGCTACAAATGTGAACCTGGCGATTTTACGCCCGTGTGCATTTCATGCATTTGTTACTAAGGATCTTTCTGTCAGCACGATTCTGCGTAGAAATCAGTATTTTACCACAGCAGGGATCATGTCAGATGAGCTGGCCACCATTGCTGACCATTGTCCACAGATCGGGCACCCAATAGATCTACTCATCTATGCCCAGCATTGTAGCAGCTGCATTGCACAGCGTGCACCGGCGATCCCAGGGGACGAAGATGACGATAATGGTGATCGTGTGGCTGGCGGTGCAGTAGCACAGAGCCGCTTCTTCCCTCCGCCCTGACCATTGTATGAACGCAGCCGCAGTGTCGCGCTCCGGCCGCCAGGTGGCGCTGGTATACGGTGGGCTGGATCAGCTGACGCAGCCCCGGGGATGTGAGTGTGCGGCTCTCCTGTCTTGTGCCGAGTACCGATCCCGCAGCTGCCAGCCCGGAGGAGGAAAGCGCATTACAGAGGCGGAGGAGCCCGGACAGCGCCGACAACCAGGCTCCCATCCCCGGCTACGCTGCAGCCATGCTGCCCCATATAACGCTGCTCTTCCTGGCTGCCGGATCGCTGGCTCTGGAGGTAAAGGGATGGGGGAGGGCTGCTGCTTCAATGTTGAAGAGGCGATTGTGATGTAATGCTGGATCCCACCTTGCTTCCCTTTGTATGATCTGCCTGTGGTCTCTGCTCAGCACAATGGCAGGCTGCTGTGTGTATGTGCCCGTCGAAATGTCGGGGACCAATTGTGATATGTCGGGGTGCCCAATGCTGCTCGACCAGCCAGTGGCTTGCACCTTCCTCTCTCTGCTGTCATCATTGACAGTACAGGGTACCCCATTCTATCATTGCCATCAGCCTCTCCTGTGTGTGGGGTTTCCTGTAATGCATATGGCAGACTGCCCCTTTAATGCCCTGCTGCCCCTTTAATGCCATGCCGACCATTTTCTGCCCTGCTGCTCTTTCCACCCTGTTGCCTTTTTCTCCACTGCTGCCCCTTTTCTGCCCTTTTCCCCCCCATTTTGTTTTCAATGCTGCCCCTTTTCTGCCTTGCTACCCCTTAAAATACCATGTATCCTCTTTTATTCCCAGCCTCTAACCTCTGAAATGCTTGCTATGCCAAGGTGCCATGTTGGTCCCGCTGACCCAGTCCATGTGCAGCTCCCCTTTTCTGCCCTGATGTCCTCTTTCTTCCCTATTTTCCCTTTTTTTTTTTGCAACACTGCCCATTTTCTGCCCCTTTTAAAATGTCTTATCTCTTTTTTTCTCTGTGCTCTGCTATGCTTGCCATGCCAAGGTGCCATGTTGGTCCTGCTGACCCAGTCCATATACAGCTCCTGTGTTGTCCCCTTTCATCATCATCTGCATCCTGTTTACATGTATCATCTTTTTCATGTAGGGTTCCTGTGACATTTATGTAACCAATTTTCCTGCCACACTGTCTTTGTATTTGTCATGTTCTGCTCTTTTTTCATGCCCACCTCCCTCTTTCTCTATCAAGCATCTCCCCCTTTATTACTGAAGTCCCGTCTGCTTATTGCAAAGAGGAGGAAAAACAAAGAAATCCAATGCCCTCTGCCCTCCAGTGGGGCTTTGCTGCCCCCCTACTCTCTCCCATGTATGCAGTGCTGGATGCTGAGGGCACAGTCCATACCCTGCACCTCTTTCGTTTCCATATTACAGAGGACCGGTCTGATTAGTGCTAACGAATGCAATTGTATTACCCCTCTGTCCCCCTCCCTCTTGTGTGACCCATGTCCCATTGCTGCTGACCCTTTGATGCCTCGTTACCCTCCGCTCTTATATTGCCCTATATCTGCATGGCCTCATATTCCTGTTATCAGGCAAAATCTCAGTGTGCAAAAAGGAATTTCTACCGTGTCATTGGGCTTTAAGTGTTTATTCGGCGAGCCACGCCATGTTGGTCAGGAAAACGCTTTAATAAATGGCATTTCTTATTTTGTTGATTACATACCCCGGCGGTACGTGGATGAGCTGCATTTATTTACAGCAGCCAATGCATACGATTTGACTGTAGCCAACTGTCTGTAAAACTCTTCTGTGTCTGGGTGCCTGAGACATCAAAGCAGAGTGAATGCGTTGTGTTTTCCTATTCGGAATTGACCACCGGGTACACACATCTCCTATAAATGAAATGAATTGCTGACACCAGCTGCACGGTTTAGCCCCTTTCAATGGGCTCTGCTCACACTTTTGTAACCCATTGTCTTGGATCAGGTGGTTAGTGTGTGTGTTGGGTAAACATGACATGTTTTATAGGATGCACTGACAGTATTCAGCCGTATCCTCTATTTTCTTCTTCCCTGGGCCTGGATAATAAGGGGGCTTTCTAATTAGGCACCTTGGAAATGGATGAGGTGGGGGTTGGGGGCTCTCTTGCTGCTAGCTGTAGTCTCTTCCTTTGGGTGGGTATTAAGGAGGCGATAGATAAAAGGATTTGACTGAAGGAAGATTAAGACACAGGGAAGATGGCGTCTCTGCATTGCTGCAATGCAAAGCTGCGTTGGAAGCTGCAGCTTGGAAGAGCCTCCCACCGCTAGGTGTTTATATGCCTTCTCCTTTCATCTCTTCCCTTCTGAACCATTCGCCCCCAGCTAGCGTTCTGCATTGACAACATCTAGGAGAGTCCTGTAGACAGCTCAACTCTGTTACCGCGCCACGCAACTGCTGCTTGCTGCATGTTTCACGTCGGTTACAGAATACATAGACTTTAATTAGCCAAAACGTCATTCGGCTGTAAACAGACCGGGGAGAGATTGGGGGGGGGGATTCGGCAGCGACTGTGCAAAAATAACATCAAACGCTGTCTGGCGTTTTATTTTTCATCAAGCCTGTGCATTGCCATGTTACGAAATGGAACAGATATGCTCCAGGAGGAGTTCATTGCATTTTATTATCACACGGTCCTGTTGTTCATTTCCTTTGGAGTGTATACTTCAGGGATGGTTATAAATGTGGGATATGCGTCAAGCTTATTCCCATTTGGCAGGCAGAAATGCATCCACTCATAGCATCCAGTGCCTTACTGAAGTCGGATTGGTGAGGGATGACCAGTTGCTATGGGTTATCGCACTTTGCATATCACCATCGCGTTTTACGACACTTCACCGCATGGCTGATTTACACAACCGGCAGCTTTGCAGCTGTTGTCTGTTGAAACTGTAGAAAAAGAAAAAACCCCTCCCCTCCCCCCCCAGAAAAAAAAAAATGAAACTTAAAGCTGATCCACATGAAGGCAGACAAATTCTCAAGGGTCACCTCACAAAGGTAGCACACCAGGATAAGGAGATTTATCTCCAAAAAAGTGACAATTGTTTTCTGCTGAGATCAATACAATTTGAAAATGAGTCACATGACTCAAAGATACTTATCCCTGTGTTGAAGGTTTGTAAATTGAGCCTCAAGGGGCGGTGCACACCTAGGCGATCTGTCACTGCGCGGCAATCGTGCGGGGTCACGGAGTCGCCCAACACAGACGATCGCGCTATGGGTGCCATTATTTTCCTGCGTCGTTTATCGCCAAAAAAAGGGTACATGTACCTTTTTTCAGCGATTGCCGCCCGGATGTCACCACACTGAAATCAATGGGGCCGCATGGCAATCGCTGCCTGCAATTGTACAGGACCGGATCGCTCAGGTCTGCCCCGAGCCTGAGTCTCCATTCACGCATGTGTGTTTTTCATGCATTTTTGCTTTGGCCAATAAAGGCAAAATAAAGTATAGGGTGCTCGGGGGCGATGGCTTGTTGTAATCCGGCAAAACACATGAAAATGCATGTTACATGCGTCTCATGTGATTTCATTGAAGTCTGTGCAGCTAAAACGTTGCGCCTGTGCCTTAAGGGACATGTACAGATATTCTGCCGCACTCCCTACCGGATATCCCAAAGCAAGACGGGTGCTAAAAATGACCGCAGATGGCGCCGCCTGGATCAGAGCTTGAATGTAATGTCACCAACACACCGTAGTAAAGTGTCAAAAGGAACGTCTGTTTATTGACGCATATTGTCACTATCAAGCTCAACGTTTCGGGGCCACGCAGGCTCCCCTTCATCCGGCTCAAGGAGATGAAGGGGACCGAGAGTGGCCCAGAAACGCTGCGCTTGATGAGTGGCAATGTGTCTTTAAACAAGCGTTCCTTTTGACACTTTACTACGGTGTGCTGGTGACATTAGATTCAAGCTCTGTGCCCTTTTTCAAGTCGCACGGAAGCGCGTTGCAAAGGTATGAATGGGCCCCATAGAAAATAATGGGAATCCTTTTGTCATGCGATGGCTCAAGCGCTTGAAATCACACAGGTGCAAACTTGCTGTAACAGGATACAAAAATCTTTCCTGATCCACAACGGCAATCGGAGAACTCTGCAGATCAATATTCTGCCGTGTTATTTCTTATAAATATTAGTCGCTGTTTTAGGTTTTGTGCTTCCAGAAACGCGTCCAGGCCTTTTATTTCTTCTGGTTTTTTTGGTTTGCTTATTTCTAAAACGGCTACTCCGTCTGCTATAACCAATTTCTGCAGAAGACACAGAACCTTTTATGTGTTTGAAAGATGATTCCTCATTGCTGGGGGCATTTGTTCTACTTTTCTATACTCCAGCCTGAGTGTGTTTGTTACAGAGTATGTCGTTCTCTCCAGCCTGAGTGTGTGTTGTTGCAAAGTGTTTATTGAGAATACCGTAGGACCCCGTGCGTGTTTTTTTTCTAACATATATTTTGTTTAATTTTTTTTTGTGGATATTTTTATTTGATATTTGTGCAGAGGGCTGAGCAAGGATGTAGTTAGTTAACATGTTGAACGTGGTCATTTGTGTATGTTTTGCATCTTTATCATTTGCATTTTTTTATACATGTTTTGTATAATGATTGTGTTTGTGTGTGTGTGTGTGTGTGTGTGTGTGTGTTTTTTTTTCTAATACGTTTTGTATAAGGATGCACCGAAATTGCAAGTGAAAATGGCACTATGGGCAAAATGGCGATTAGTACAAAAACAGACGAAAATGCAATACGTCTCTATCTCCTCTCCTCCCCGCTGGGTGCCGGCTGCAAGCTCTGGTCTGTGTCCCCTCTGGTCCCTAGCCGCTCCCCCCCCTGCCTGTGTCTAAAATGCGGTACGTCCCTATCTTCTCTCCTCCCCGCTGGGTGCCAGCTGCAAGCTTTGGTCTGTGTCCCTCTGGTCCCTAGCTGCTCCCCCCCGCCTGTGTCAACAGAGGCAGCGGGGATCAGAGGGGACACAGAGGCGATCCGGCTGCCGGTACACTGTGGGAGGACAGAGGCTGTTAGGAGGCCGAGTAGGGTGGTGCAGGGAGGAGACAACTCTCAGGAGGCCGAACAGGGTGGTGCAGGAGGAGAGTTTGGCTCCTGTTACAGCAGAAGCAGTCAGGATGGAGAGCGAGCACACTCAGTACTGATCACTTACAGGGTTATTCACTAAAGGGTGAAGGGTTTGGAGAAGGCAGGAGAAGTGAACAATCTAGGACAACATAGCTGATTTGGACAAATTCTCAAATTCAGCTCACTTTCCAGTTCAGCTATTTTGTCCTAGATTGTTCACTTCTCAGGCCTT